ATATCACAGACAGTACAAGTATCTTACAAAAAATCTTTCATTATAAGTTACCGTTACAGGACTTTCTGATTTAACGTACACTGCCAATCTTAGACTCTCGCTGAGTTCCCAATGACCACTTCAGCTATACTCTGACAAAGCATGACTCCTACATACATACTTACATCATGTTTGCTCAACTGTATGTGGATCAGCCGCACTGCAGAGATGTTGAGTCAGCAAGACTGGTCATGACAACATTTGGTTATTGAATTCTACTGCCCGAGACAACAAAATGTAGGAATGTATCATCTTTAAAGAGAAATAGTACAAGAAAGTTTATCGACAAGAAAGAAATGTGATGGGTGTTAATTATATATACATATATTTATATTCTTAGTTTCAGCAAGCCTCTTACTTCATCCACACTGTAAAAGCCTTTAATAGAAGCTGGCGTGCTTTGGATCATAACCTTTATTAAAGAGCTACATCTGCTATTTGAATAACATGTTGGCAATTTTCTTGAAATTTGCATCCACATTCATCTGTCTGTTCAATTCAATTCAATTCAATTTTATTTGTATAGCGCATATTTACAACAAGTCATCTCATAGCGCTTATTTTTCTTTTGTCATACAGCATGAATCTTTATTTTCATATCAAATCAAAACCACACGTAGGATGCCTTCTATGCTGCATACACGTTAAATATTCACATCTATTCGGCTGAGTGTGAAGGTTTAATTTGGAAAAACAGCAGTTATGTTGTAGTTACGCTGGTAAAACAGAGGTATTTTTTTGATTAGTTCCAACAAATTTCAAGTATTTACCTACTCAGAGCTCAAAACATGACCGTGTCGCTTAAAAACAACAACAAAAATAAACCTACACTATCATACCTATTATCAGTAACGGCATAAGTTGCTCAGAAAACAATGCTTGACAACGTCCCCAAAATAAAGAGTTCACTCAGTCGTATTTTAAAGGCGATAGTAACTCAGGAGCTGAGTAACTCTGTTCACTTTAGAATTCACAATCCCAGCAGTAGATCTAAGTTTACCGATGCCACATGACAAAACCAGTCCCACATGTTGACACAAAGTACAGTCATACATAAATGGGGATTTACGATGAACTTTTATCATGACTACTGTGGTCAAGTTTTGCTGGTACATGTTGGTCCACTTGTAATACTTGAAAGCTATTCACCATGTAATATGTAGCAACACACTTTCCGAGTTGACATATTGACCACTAGCTAACCAACATGTGATCCATGAAAAGGTTTAGGCCATTCACAAATCTGTAAATCAAATATGATACTAGTGTGACATTAAGCACGAATTTTCAGTTGCAAACGCCACTTATTGAGAGCAGTAATTAGAAGATATAAAACTGACTGAGCAAATATATATTTCCAATGTAACCCCAATGTGTAGCTTAGCACCAGATGAAGAAAAATCCTGAACAGAATCCAGACCAGGCTGTACAACACAGATCCAACAAAGAGGCCACATTGTTCTCCATTCCTAAAGAAAAAGCCCAAAGAAAAGCTTATCTGTAATCCACTTATGTAAGCTTTCTTGGAATTTGTTAAGTATTGTACCTACGATGCTTCACACCGAGATTTAAGAAACAAGTGTGTGCAAGCCTGCAGCTGCTCCACGTAAAACAGGTACGTTACAAATCAGTCTTTTGTGTAATTTATTATCACTGAATTTGCCTTTGTCAAAGAAACGACTGAATGGAAAAATTATTGCATGATGAAAATGTGTTTTCATGGCCTCTGTAGGTATTTTTATTTATTTTGTTTAATCCAAAATGACTCACATTGATGTTTTGAATTATTTTTGTTTCTTCCAGATTAAAGATGAGCCTCAGTGGAAACGCAGCAGCATTTCTTCTTTTATTATGTGCGGCTTTCTCGTCCTGGAGACTCAGCCATGGAGGCAAGATTTTGATCGTTCCTTTTGAGGGGAGCCACTGGGTGAACATGGACGTCATGATCAAGGCTCTCCACTCTCAAGGGCATTCTATCGATGTGGTACGAACCAACAAAAGCTGGTACATCAAGGACGGCGCTGCACACTACCAGACAATCACAGTTCCTGTCACTGAAGCCTTTAATCACGATTTTATAAACCCCATTGTGAGAAACATAATTGCCATAGAAAGGGGGGAAAACTCTTTTATGAGCTTTGTGAGTTTGCAGTTTGAAATGTTTGATTCAATGTCTGACATGCATGACATGACGTGTAAAATGGCTACGAACATGTTGAAGGATAAAGAGTTGATGGATAGTTTAAAGGCACATAAGTATGACTTGGTCCTTACTGACCCAGCTTGGGGTGTAGGTATAATGGTGGCTCATGCTCTTCAGCTTCCTCTGGTCTATAATGTGCGATGGGTAACTAGTGGAGAGGGACACTTGGCTATTGCACCTTCTCCTTTGTCTTACATCCCAACAACCGGCTCAGGACTCACAGACAAAATGACTTTCATACAGAGAGTGAAAAATGTATTGTTCTCCATCATTTGGAGAGCTCAGGACATATTTTTAATCCGTCCGCAGTATCAAGCTGTTTGTGATCAGTTCTTTGGCCCAGAAGTTAAATATAGTGAGTTATTACAGGGAGCAGACCTGTGGCTCATGAGAGTGGACTTTGTGTTTGAGTTCCCTCGTCCCACAATGCCAAATGTTATCTATATAGGAGGGTTCCAGTGTAAACCTGCAAAACCTCTGCCTCAACACTTGGAGGACTTTGTGCAGAGTTCTGGAGAGCATGGAGTCATCCTCATGTCTCTGGGGACTTTTGTGAGTGAACTACCTGCTGACCTGGCAAATGAGATCGCTGCAGCTTTTGCTAAACTTCCTCAGAAAGTCATCTGGAGGTATAAAGGCAACAGACCAGACACTGTGGGCAACAACACTTTGATAGTGGACTGGATGCCACAGAACGACCTTTTAGGACATCCTCAAGTAAAACTGTTTGTGGCTCATGGAGGAACAAACGGAGTCCAAGAAGCTATTTACCACGGAGTCCCAGTTGTGGGTCTCCCTGTGTTTTTTGACCAATATGACAACCTGCTCCGACTAGAGGACAGAGGAGCAGCTAAGATTCTTACATTAGCGACAGTGGACAAAGACAACAACTTCCTAAAAGCTATACAGCAGGTCCTGAATGAGCCCTCCTACAGGATGAACATGCAGAGACTCTCCAGGCTGCACAGAGATCAGCCAATAGCGCCGATGGATAACGCCCTCTTCTGGATCGAGTTTGTCATGAGACACAAAGGTGCAGCTCACCTGAGAACAGAGTCTTACAGACTGCCCTGGTATTCCTACCACTCTGTAGATGTAGTTCTGTGTTTACTGGCTGCTGTTGCACTGATTACTTTTCTGAGTTTTATGGCTTTCTGGCTGTTATGTCTTGAGAAAAAGAAAAGAAAAACTAATGAGGCTAATAAAAAATGACAAAACACCGTATTCTGTCCTCTGTTAAATTTCAATAATATTTAAATAATATTGCATGGTTTCTAACTATTTTGTCTTAAAAATAGACAACTTCATAATTTCATTAAATTTATCAACTTGTAAGGCACTCGGAGATAACAGTCTTATACCAATTCTCTTTCTTGGAATGTTGAAGAAAGTGATCTGGACCTGCACCTAAATTAAATGAGGTCGTCTTTTGTCCATGCTCCTTCTGCCCTATAGGTTTCATGGAATTCGGCTTGGTAGTTGCTGGCAGACAAAAGGATAAAGAGACAAACAAATGGCACTGGAAACATTCCACTGCCTCGGCTCCTACCTTAATGGTGGAAAAATATAACTGTGAAAGGGGTCTCAGTGTCAACAGGCTGTAGGTCCCCCTTGTGGTACAACACAGGAATTAAGACTGGGTTGGACATTACGAATAGGAAGCATTAAACTAAATAATGTTGTATTTTTCCTGATTGGATATACAAGGTTTTATTTAAGCTGTGTAACAGTGAGAATAGACCAAACAGTTACTTCTTACAGAAAACATTCTACTCTATTGTATTTTATCACACTTGCAAGCTGAATAGTTTCTGTGATTGCAAAACATATATTTTTAGTCAGTGCCAGCAGAACAGTCGACATGGCTCACAGTTAAAGCCACTATGTACTCAGGGTGAATATTCACCACTCCTTGTAGAGAGCTACTCAGAAAAGACATTGCAGCAGACGGCAATATAAACCGATTTCCCATATTTTTTTGATGACAAACTACTGACGTCATTCTTTTCATCAGCTCCCCAGCTGTATTTCAAACAGCAGAGCAGCAGCAGTGAGACAGTGGAGGAAAGCAGCAGTGACAGATATGTATTGGATGTGCCTCCTGATTGATAGATCATCAGCTGAAGGAGACATTATACGGTCAGCGCTACTGAAAGTCCTTGGTTGAACTTTTATAAGGTTAGATTAGGTTATATATGAGACACACACACACACACACACACACACACACAGTAATATATAACACAGCGTACTGGATGCGGTAAGTGTTATACAGTTAAAATCTTTTCATATATTAATATTATACAGTTCAAACTTTTGCATGTTAACATTAAGATAAATGTATTCAATGAGCATCTGATGAAGCTAAAATTAGGGACAAATACATTTTCTATGACTGCTTTGCAATAAAAGCCAGTGGCAGCGCAACACAACTGAGATACAATTACAAATACCAACCCTAGATCATTTATTTTACTGCATGTAAATACATTTCATGGCTACTGTAGAAAATACAGATTACAACGTATCAAAAATGGGGTTTGATTTCTTTAATATCTAAATGATTTTTAGCTTAAAATAGAATACATGTTGCATATACAGCATGTCCAAATGCAAACAGCTTTATACAAGTAGACAATAGAAATAACACGAAGCAAATATGTCTCGTATGTCTTCCTCATGCAAAATAAAATTGATAAAAAGAAGCATTGCATCAACAAATGCATTGTTGATTATTTAAAGCAACAATACAGTACGTAAGCACACACACGTTCTCCTAATCAAATAGTCTGAAGATGTGACTATAACTGGTTTGAAATGACGGACAAGGCAAGCACAAGAGGACTTATTCTTTTTTCTTCTTCTTTCATCTTGGTTAAACTAAATGTATGAGGACATTTTTAACCCTGCTCCATAAGGATCATGTCTTTCTCCAGATGTGTTGCTATATAATAAACGTCTTCACAAAAATACCTTCATTTATTCTGAACAATAGCATTCCTCACTGTCATGAAGTGACATGGACTGAAGAAAACAGGAGTACAACACATTTATACATTTAACTGTACATTAAACTCTGGTGACAACTGTATTTGGGGTCTTTTGTGTCTGCGGGATGTAGCATACACAATTGATCCACTTGGTCTTGTAGGTGCGTCGTCTGCGAGCAGAAAGTTTACAGTGAAACAGCAGGCACGGTTTTCTTTTCTATCTATTTTAGCCTCTCGTCTATTTATTTTGGTCGTCGTCTCTTTTTCTCATCTCTATTCTGTCTAACTTTCACACGGCAGAATTAGCCGTTGTGAGTCAGACAGCATGTGACCGATCTCTATTCACATCTACCCCGCCGCTATAAATGAACATTTGGTTTTCCTGTGAGCCGCACTCAATTCAAATCAACGTGCTCAATGTGAAGTAACAAAGCAGCAGCAGCAGCATCGTACGCTGATAACTTCATGTTTTATTATTCGTATTGTTCTCATTTTCATGGCCCTATCACTTTTGTCACTGAGCAGAGCAACTTAAAATAGGAAGACAAAACAAACATCTAATGATATGGAGCACACAGTACTTTGAATGAGACTGTGTTTCTAGCTGTGATTCACTGAGTACGTATAGTAGTCTTCATAGTACCTCTTGTATTTAAAATTACATCATCTTTTCATGCTACCATTACAAAAAAAGACATCTGTATGACTTCAAAAGGCAATAAAAACTGCTTCTGTCATCGAACAAAGTAACTAGACGCTGTTGGACGATCACTAACCGGGAACAACACTGTACACTCCCTCCCCGTCTTCACTGTAGTCCTCGTCTTCGTTGTAGGTGGAGTCCTCAGCAGCCACATCATACTGAGGCCTGATGAAAAACAGTAAATAAATCATCTCAAGCCAAATCATGATAGCATCAATGTGTGTCGCATATAATCAAATATAAAACATGTAAGTTTTAAAAGATTCCACTTTCATCCGTGTTGGAATTTGCAGATAAAAAGTAAAGTCAGATTTCATTATTTCTCATTATAATTACTGAGCAGTCATACAATAACATGGAAAACATCTGACTTTGAAAGTAAAAACAAGACTAAAATCACAATTGGAATTAACATTGATTTATATTCTTACTCTTCTTCTGCCTTCGAGCTGAAAGAATCGTCTCCTGAGAAATAAAAGGAAAATGGTCAAATATATAAAGGCCATAATCAGAATGAGTTATAACAGTTGTATAGATCCATTTTACTTTCAGAAAGAACAGAAGAAGGAGATGTTAGAGGAATTAGCTGTTCATCTTCTTTCTTGTATTAAAATAGCACAAAACTGAGCTCGATCACGCTTTCTTTTTAAGTCATCATAGGTCCTTTTATCACAAATTCCTCCGAGTATGTTTTTACTGTACATGAATTTTCAGTATACCAATCTGTCCATTCACGTAATCTTCGCCTGCCTGCTCCTGCTGTTCCTCCAACGTGTCTGCGTTTGCCTGCTGGCTCAACGCCCTGAAGGAAAACACATCCAAAGCGATATGCAAGTCACACAACACATAGAGCACACATGTGTCAGTAGGTTATGAAACGTCAGACTGAATCAAAGCTCACCATGGATTGCACCAAACTGAGTGGCCTGTTGAAACATACAAAATGAAAATTTAAAGCAAAACCAAGCATGCCAGTATGTGTATTTTATAGTGCGGTTGGTGAGATAAACCAGTGTCTTAGACGTACATCTGAATCATTTTTGTTGTTTGTTTTAGTTTGTCATGACTACTTTGCTACAAAATTTGAACTCTAATGGGTTGGATTTTTGATTTCACTCCTCTGACCTTGTTTATATGAGATCCAGCACAGACACAGAAGCATCGATGTCATCAGGACCACCACTCCAGATGTGACAGACACTGGAATGACCACATTGACTGAAAAACAAAACGGACACAATGAGCTATGTTTTAAAAGACACGTTATTTGTGATGATGAAAAAGTGTCTCTGAATATTAAAGCACTGTCTGTAGCAAATAGAAAAACCTTCTCATTTGTTATTTTTATCTACTAACTTCCTCACCTTTGACCTCAAGAAACACTGTATTCCTTCCATAGATTGCGTTCTCATGCTCTTGGATGCATTTAGTTGGCAGCACTATGCAGCTGTAATGACCCGAATCCCTCACAACTGCACCCTTGATGGAGAACGTCGTCTCCATTCGAGTGGCATCAAATGTTTGCAGTTGCAGGATGGTCTCATTCTTCCTCAGGTAGGAGAGGATGAGTGGACATCCACCGAGTGTATGCAGGGTGTCGGAAACGCTACATCTGAATTCAACATGGTCTCCGTCGTAAACAGTAGACGACCCGACGACTGAGATATCCGCTGGGAGAAAATTGGCTGCAGAGCATCAAGAGAAAATGAAAGGTACAAAACAACACTGACATAATGCTCTCAGGGAAATGGAAATACTCACCAATAACCAGAATCTCAATGATGTTGTCTCCTCTCTGGTCGATTTCAGAAATTGTGTAGTCTTTGAGAGAACAAACACAGCTGTAATTTCCACTGTATTCAACACCGACGCTGGATATGATGAAGGGGATATCATGTTGATCTTTCTTTCTTGTAACTTTTTGGATCGCATGTCCGTCCTTCCATAAATACACATAAATCCCGCAGTGTTCTTTTCTTCCAAATGTGCTGCAGGTTACACGAAGGTCACTGTTCTCGCTCACAATCTTCTGCTGGGCCAGAATTTTAGCCGGCAAAACATCTGCACGACATCATAAAAGCATAATAACTTTAAAAGAATACATCACACATATGTTCTTCAGTTAAAGTGAAATGTGGCTCACCTTTGCTCTGGCAGATAACCTGATTTGTCAGTGCACCTTGGAGAAAAAAAAACATATATTATTAAATAGAAATGCAGACAATATGTTTTTAAGTAAGTGTTAGTTGTCATTATACTCACACAGAAGAACTGTGATTATCGTCACCATTTTTAACAACGTGGCACACTCAGTCTTTACCCAGCATGCTTACTGAAACCCCGTAGAGGCACCTATTGAAGTCTTGTGTGCATCCAGGCGAACCTTAGAGTCAACGTGACTGTATTGAACCACTTCCTGAACGTTCTGTCTTCGCTTGTGATATTTTGATGTTCGCCTTCTTTGACATCTTTTCCTCCTAAACTGACAGTCGCTTTTCTTTTTCTTTCTCTTTTTTTTAACTACCAGAAATTTTTCACTGATACTGTCAGAACATCTTTCATTTCATACCTCATTTAGTATCTGTTTGAGAGATCTCCTGCAGACGCACCACAGGAGTTCTTAGGGAGCTTTAATTAAATTCATTAGCTGGGGGGTTTCTTATCAGATGTGGCCTAAAGTTAATACAGTATCTGTCTGCGCTTCCCTGCAAGGATTCCATTAATATGGGCTGGGCTGCCTTGTAATCACATAGCTCGCCATCTGCTCTGATTTTTCTCTTGTATAATTATCCAGACAGTGATAGACTGACAACTAGGATATTTAGGCTCACACTCACAATGCATGATGGTGATAGCAAAGTCTTTCTGTAGGTGTACTAGCAATGGGGGAATTCACAAAAGCAGTCATTTGAACTGTCATTTCCTGCAGGTACATTTGTGTTACACAACTACATCTCGTGCTGTTAGAAGATTTGTCACGGCATATCCCCAATACGGCTTTGATTTTAATATTACGTACATTTCTTGGATAACTACAGAAAAATAACAGATGGTAACATATGATTGTTATATATAGCATCATCACACCCATGTGACACCATCAGGCCTGAGGTATTTGGGGCACCATGTGTAGTAATAGCAAAAATCACATTTTACCCAGGAATGAAAGTTAGATGGGAAAAAAAAAAATATATATATATATAGGGGGGAGCCAATGAAGTCATTTATCACTTGTTTTCCGAATCGACTGTGATCCAATAAGTCAAGTTAGCTCCCAGCTGGCACAGAGGATATGAAACAGGAATTAACAGAGCTTCTGTGACCTCTTTGAAATTAAATTTACATCCCATAGCGTTTGTTTCCAGTCTCAGAAATAAATGTGAGTAAAGCAGTTGTTTTGTTTTTTTTTTATTAGTATTTACAAAAGTGTTTTCCTTTTACAATCCACATACTTTGCCCTGTTCTCATCAAAAATTCTAAATGATTCTTTCTTCATTCATCACGCTGTCCAGAAGGAAACACTGTCCAAATCAAAAAGCAGCTCTCTCAGTGCATTCGAGGAACTTTAAGCATCATTATCAGTATATCATTTCATTTCATTTTACAAGTGAGAATGGGTGAGGTTGTAACATCAGTTGGAAAGACAGAGTGGGTGACAAATCCCTCTGAAACAGCCATGAAGGTGACTTGTAGTAACCAAGAATTGCCACATGATGTCACTCCTTGAACACCTTAGACATCATTGCCTGGTTCTCCTAAACAAGGAAGTCCACATGAAATGGTTTACAGTTTGTCATGTTGTGTATAAAGACCCACCGTCCACCTTCCACCCCTACATATATATAACAATGATCTCATACATACATCCAGAGTCACAGAGAACCATCATCAGCAACAACAAGAACAAGAAGTCCTTCAACAGATAGGGTGGTCCCAACAAAGCCCTGATCTCAACATTATGGAGTCTGAGATCACATGAAGACACTGAGGCGGTTTAAATCAACGGAGGAATTGCAACGAGTTCTCTAAGAAGCTGCAAGAATCTACCAAGCAAGTAATATGGAAAACTGAAAACAAGCATAAACAGGAGTTTGGGTTTTTTTTCTGTTTTTTTACTGTACTTTGTATGTAGTTAACAGGTATTATGATTGCAAAAACATTTGCACAGAACCCTAAATACTTTGGTCATGTTGCTTATATGGATTTAACAGGAATAGCTCAAATGTTGAACTTTCTGATAGCGTTTGTGAATTCATGTACACCCCTAGTGTGACATTAAATACTTTGAATTTAGTACCTTTAATCACTGCACCAATTATGCATTCATCGAAAAACAGATAATAATAAAATAAATGCTATTACCTTGGTATTTTAGATTATATTACAGCCTGCTGCAACTCTGTTCATTCTGAACAGTGACTAATGCTGCATCCATTCAAGTAGGAAGATAGAAATTTTCAAGCTGAAAATTCTGATTGAAGAGTTTCATGAGTCACAGAGACAAATGTAAACCGATAGGATGAATACATGTCTGATTGTAGTGTCTTCAGAGCTTAACTTCAAATATCAAAGAAACACAGGAGGGTAAACAATGCGTGTAAGAGGCCGCCACACATAATATTTTACATCCGTTTAGTTAAATTACACACAGTAACAGTACCATGTTACACACCTCGGGTGTCATTTTCATTTCAGGTGTCCTAGTAATGTTCACTTCTGTAGATGCTGCCATTCTGAGTGACCAGAGCATCTGATCCTCTGTGAATTGCGTGAAATTGGCCCAAAAATTCCAGTCAGAGCTCTGACTTTGAGCAGCCATTACATCATATTTTTTCAAGTAGGATAGTCAGGTGTAAGTCATCTGGACTGCAGGATAACCACTGTCCATTTTTGGTCAGCCGTGTCCTCAGCATTTACCAGTGCCGAAACAATTTCAGCAACAGAAAAAAAAAAAAAGTCTCTGAACCACAATCATTTCTTCTCCTTGGCTTTGGCTCCACTCTGTATTTACTCTCTGTAAGCCATGGCCAGAATCTTATGTGTAACAAATGGTGTGCAGTTCAACAGTCTGTGGTATTAGTTTTGTCAAACTGAATCAGATGTCCTCCCCGAGCAATAGAGGCTGGAGGAAGAGGCCAGCTGTTCCCAGGATGCACACGAGAACAAAAACCCACAGAAAGATCCTGTCGATAACCATGGCAACGTACTTCCAGTCATCCTGAACCTGTGAGGGGATTACAGCAAAAACATTTTTAATGTTATTGTGACATCATAGTTTCTAATGAATCCTCAATATATACTTCTATCAGCCACAACGTAAAAACCACTGAGGGTTGAAGAGAATGATACTGATCATCTCCGTACGATGCACTGTTCTGCTGGGAAACCTTGGGTCTTGGCACTAATATGAATGTCATTTTAACATGTAGCATCTGCCTAAACATAGACCACTGACACTCCCAGAGGTCCTGTGTCCGTGCACCAACAGGTCAGAACTGTTTTGGCAGCACTTACACAATTTTTTGCAGGTGGTTTCAATGTTGTGACTGACAGGCGTAATTTTATAAGAAATGCTACACTTGTACATTCAGCTTTGAATAAATTGCTTCTATGAGTATTTCTCCTCACCTCCTTTGCTTCATTCTGTAGTCTCATGTTCTCTGCGATGTATTTAACACTCTCAATTGCCTCCCTGACCTCAGGGGAGAGCGGCAACAGAGACATTATTCCTCCATCCAGAGATTCGGAGCTGGAACACTGACTGCCCCCTCCAACCCCAATAGCTCCGCCTCCAGTCAGGGTCCCCAGGCTGTCCAGTCCTCCGCTCCCCCCTCCGGAGTCTGCGGGCAGTTTGCCGGATCTCTTTTGCCAGCAGCAGTTGCAACGGCCTTCGCAGCACAAGAAGCCGGAGCCGGTACATTTGGTTGAATCTCCGCTCAAGTTGTTGAGATTGGAGAGCTCTGTGTTGTTAAAAAGCCGCTGACGGTTGGTCAGGGTGGACACCACGCAGGTGGCCAGGCCCTGAGGTTTGTGCTGCTTCTGCAGAGTACCTGTGGAATGAATGGCACAGGGTCTCGGATGCGTCGCCTGAACACTGTCAGCCACAGTCACCGTCTCTGGGTCCCTCTCAGGCCTGGTCATGAACATCACCCTGGGCAGCAGTCCAAGGAACACACTGCGCACCCAGCAGGGCATGGTGTGTGTCTTTGGTGTGCGGTAGTGGACGTTCAACACAAAAACAGTAATGACAATAGAGAGGGTGACAAAAATCATAGTGAAGAGGAGGTACTCGCCAATCAAGGGTATGACTAACGAGGTGGACGGGATGGTTTCTGTAATGACGAGGAGGAAGACAGTCAACGACAGCAGGACGGAGATACACAGTGTGACTTTCTCACCGCAGTCAGACGGCAAGTAGAAGACAAGCACGGTGAGGAAGGAGATGAGGAGGCAGGGGATGATCATGTTGATAGTGTAGAAAAGAGGCAGACGGCGGATGTACAAAGAGTACGTGATATCTGTGTAAATCTCCTCGCAGCAGTTGTACTTAATGTCATGTTTGTATCCGGGCGCATCGATGATTATCCACTCGCCAGTCTCCCAGAAGTCCTTGAGGTTGATAGTTGAGCCAATCAGCACCAGGTCAATCTTGGCCTTGTCGTAGGTCCAGGAGCCAAACTTCATTGTGCAGTTTTGGTAGTCGAAGGGGAAGTATGTGACGTCGATCTTGCAGGAGCTCTTGAATATGGCTGGAGGGATCCAGGTAACGTCACCGTTGTAGCGAAGCAGGGCCTTTGTTTTGTCGTCAACCTGGAAATCTCCAACTGCACTGTAGAGAGAAAGAGAAAGAAAAGTCAACAGGGTGAAAGCTGGAGAGGAAGGAGTCACTGAAGATTAAGATGAAAGATACAAGCAATTGGATCCTGTGTTGTTGAGATATCCTTTTAAAAATGTGGATGTGGTTTTGGTAAATTGCATCCTGTGATGTTCTGTACATCCTCTCCAGAATATTCAGAATGAAAAATGACCTCTGCTAAATGAGCAAGGAAGACTGGTAAAGTTTGTCATTCTGCTGCAATCCTTTCTAGTAAATACATCCAACAGTCAATAAAGATGCTGTGCCAGGATTTAATTTGTTGTCATGCTCACTTGTTGTACAGCACAATGTCTGGCTTCCATATCCTGCTGGACGGCACTCGGATAAACTCAACGCCTCCGAAATCCTTTGGGTTCCATTTGAGTTTGTAGTCATTCCAGATCTGAGAAGAAAAAAAAAAAGTTAAGAGATAAAATATAAAAGATAAAACTCTTAATTTTAATCAGCTTGAGACATGATGAATATCAGTGAAGTGAATTGTTAAAACTGACAATAAACTAGGCCCTGCTTACTTGTTAATACTGGTTTTGAATCAGTTTTAAATTATAATTTAGATTTAATTGAGGTCTCAGATCAAGCTGGTCAGTCTAATAAATGTAATGCAAAGGCATGGACTGCAACATGTAATATTTAAAATATTACAACATACAAGAAAAACATAATAAAAGTTTTTCTTGATGCTGTATTTAGTCACAGTTATGCTTTGAGCTAAATGCTAAGGTTCTCGTGTCTACATTCTTTATAGTTTAGCATGTTGGCATGTCTGCGTTTGCAAATTAAATTGTAGACACAAACCAGAGTATCGGACAAATTAAAAAGTTGACCTGATTATGGTGGAAGGTGAAAAGTTAAGGGATCAGAAAAGTCAATACAATTCATCCTCAAAGAGACACGAATGCTTGCATCAAATTTTAGCCCAGCTGTTAGCCTCGCTGAGATGTTCCAATCAATAGCACCATCCACCACTATCTGCCTCATGGTGGTGCTGGAGGAAAACAATTTTAAGTTTGTGGGACTCGGACTGAAGCTGGTCATTTTGCTATTTGGCAACAGAGGAAGAATCAGGAGATTACAAGCATGCATCCTTTGGGGGCCATATGCTGTACGCGTGTGGACTAAAGTGGTGGACTGATATGGAAACCACTAGAGAAAGGCTGCTAGCATGATTAACATCAAGTTTATTTTAGGTTAAACTGTCTTAAAAGGTTGTATCATGTCATAAGACACATAAAAGCTGGAAAGCACCAGTTGCTAGTTTGGTGGCTTTTAAATGCATTCTCTTAAAAAATGTCCCCCAATAAAACAATGGAAAGTTGTCATCTCCGACTGTGGCATATGAATAAAGGGAAAACATCATGTGTGAGTGTGTGTGAGGAGGTAAATTGGATCAGAGTTTATAGTGTGTTTTATGGACCTTTTGGCCGCTATTGTTGACCCTCTCCTCGGGACAGCCACGAATCCTTGTGAGACTCATGACACCACGACTTTAAAGTGCCCTCAGAGGGCTGTAAAAATTTCACTTAATTACAAAACAGTATGTATCTGGAGGGTTTTGAAGGATTGGGATGGGCAGCAGGGGAAATTTGCCTCACAGTGTTGTTTGTGCATTGCCGAAAACAACAACGGCATTAAAATAGGGGCAACAATGCTTAAACTTCTAAACCCGAAGAGCAATTACCGCTCAACCCTTTCGCAGACAACACAGCTCTACTGTAGCGCAGATGAGTATTTGCTCAGTACATGTAAAATAGGACCTGGAGACCTGCCCCGCCTCATTTGACTCAAAACTGGTTCACTGCACCATGCATCATGGGAGCAGAAGTGCCACGAGGGACAACAAATTAAATAAAACAAACATCAAGCCACATAATGTATGGACCTTGTCTTTAATTTTGTTGTTTTGTGCAATTACGAAACAGAAATAAGGTAAAGTGAGGTTTAAATATACTGTGGAAGGTTACAGATTTCTGTCACAGGAGCAAAATGAATGTTCCTAAAACCACCGTCAAATGACTTCTACAGCAATGTGAAATGACAATGAATTCCAAGTGCATTTGCTTTATATGACTTTTCTTCAAAAATAGGATCACTGGGATCAATGTGTTTAAAAAGCTTGCTCCCATGAATAATTCAACCTGTCAGTCTAGCCGCAAAGAATCATATATGACAGAAGGCTGGATCTATACTTGATGCCCTTGCTCAAGGTCTATTTGCACAGTCATCGACCATAAACTTACATGTCTTAGCCACAGATTGGTCTCCATGATCTGATTGACTTCATCCTAAGAACAGGGTAGAATTGATAATGAAGAGATTAAAGTGAGGAAAAACAAATAAATGTTAACACTTTAAGCTGAAGCAGTAACAACCCTGTCACAGGCGATCATCCAGTTCACCACTGAGGATTGCCTGTGTGTGCTTTCTGCGGGGTCGGGCCGCTGCATATTCTGGACAAGAGGTTTCAGAGAGCAGCACCTGAGTCCTCCACGCCTGGAGCAGAACACACATGACAGCTGGGAGCCAGGAGGTCACACAGCACAGCCTTAACTTTTATTCTAACAACTCAGTGGTAAAGCTGGAGCAGAGAGACTAAAGAAGGGAGGGAGAGAAAACGATGGGGGTCAGGTTTATGTGTGACTTAGACCGTGAATGAACCAATCTCATGACCCAGTGCATAACATTAACCATTCATGTGATCATTTGGTATCCAGGAGGAACGCTCTGGTTCTGTGGTTAAAGCACAGGTGGACAGACGGCCCCCAGGACAATCTTTATTCATTATCTTTGTGAAATGTAGGATTTTAAAGCGCCTTGATCGCTAAGGCGCACTTTCTGTGGCTTATCACTAAATCAGTCTGAATGCACAGACACAAGGGGGGGGGGCATGATTTCACTAAGATCAGGGGATTCATTTAAAATTTAGTGTTTTTTCAAGAGGGCTGTAGACTTGAAACTTGGCCATCTTTTACTATCGCTGTGATTTTTGGAGTGACTGAAAGGCAGGAGTAGCCTCGTTTCACACAGTGCGTCTTGTTACAGACGCTCCAGTCTGATGTTGTGATAAAAACCTTGGAGTTAAAGAATTATTCAGAAATTTAGAAATGCATCTAATCATTTACTTGGCAGGAGCAAGATGTGAGGATGGATCGTACCCCATATATAAAACTGCACATCCAGCAGCTTTGCTCAGCAAAAAAAGACCTGTGCTTTCTTTGTCAAGAAAAAAGTTGGTTGTACACTTTGTCTTTTGTTGGAATAAAAAAAAAAAGATCTAATAATAATAATCGATCAGATCTATATAGCACTTTTCTAGGCACTGAAAGGCACGAATCACTGTCAATTATTCATTCACACACATTCATTCCGGTGGTGACAGCTTCAATTGACCACCACCCCAAACAATCCATTCATACACATTCAGACCAGCCAAGGTGGGTGGAGAGTCTTGCCCAATGACACAACCACCATGACACAGGTTACAGGGCGGAACCACCGACCTTTCCATCACTGACCGACTCGCTCTACCACCTGAGCCACAGCCGCCCATATGACATGTTCATTAGTGAGCCGTGCCAGTCTTCATGCTAAGCTCAGCTAACTGTCTCTTGGTTGGAGTTACCTATTTAAGCAACAAACATAAGACTAGTTTCAGTTTTCTTATCTCAGTCTTGCAAGAAAGCCAATAAGTGGATTTCCTGAACTATTTTCTTCAACAGAACGCTCTCTGGTACCAAAACGCACTCTTCCATCACCCAGAGAGCCCGCGGTACGATCCCTGATTGTGAAATGATGACTCAGGCAGCCCTGCCGACGAGCTATTGATGGTCTAAATGAGCTCATATAGCCATGTTGTAATTGGTGTTGGTGAACCAATACCAATTGCATCTGTGTTGGGAGCAGCAGCTGTGTGGTGGGAATAATAGTCATCCATCAGCACTGGGAGCTGCGCAGCCTGCCACATTAAGTGAGTTAAGACAAATATAACAAAATATCCTTTTCTCTATCTCTTCTTTCTATCCAGACAGCTCTTCAATACTTATTTAAGTCCTTTGAGGGAAAAAAAAAGACAAATACAGATTGCTTTTACACGAGGAAACGAAAACAGATTGGGATGGGCTGTGAGGTGTCACATCCCACATCATCCACTGAAACTGTTGAGGGGACGCCTTGTGGGGATCATTGCATGCACAGTGAAATACTGTTGTAGTGTTGATTATTATTGGCTGACATTACAGAAACATAAAATGTAAAAGCAATATCCCAGCATGTGTGATAAGACATTAGCTTAGCTTTGCATCAATACTGAAACAGACAGCAGCACTTGTAAATCTCACATGCTACATCTTGTTTGTTTAATCAATAGAAAAACGGAGCTGCAATAAATGACAGTTTGCAGTTTTACATAGGTGGTAGTTGGATTAAAAAAAAAAAAAAAAACCTTTAGCCAAGCATGAAAACAAATAAATAAATGCCATAAAATCTTTTGATTTCATTTGATTGAGGTAATATAGTACTTTAAAGCTGCCATCTTGTCAGTAACATTGGGTTAAATGCTGAACACTATACAAGCAGATGCTGTCTATCCAGGGTTGAGGATTTTTTTTTTTTAAAGGAAGCTGGATTTCCTGTCGAACACAATCCTTTTTGCTTGATTATTTCATTCGCCCTGGACCTGCCTGAGTCAAGTGAGAGACTCGTATGTCTGGCCCACAAGTCTGCAGTCAACAACAAACTTCAGCAAAACGCGCTGGTAAATCCACGGGTGCTCATCTGAAGTGGCAGTGACTGACTGATAGAGGCTGAGAGGTACTCAGACAGCTGATTTTCCATCTTGTCTTGGCCAGACAAACAGCCACACTGCCTCTCTTTTCATCTAGTCCCCTCCTCAGGATTATAAGCCAGGGGCTGCTGTGTGTTTGCAGGGCGTATCTCAGGTGTCTCAAGTGGTATCCCAATTTTCCCCTTCTCTTGTTGTCCACAAAAGTCTAAAAAAACCAACACCTGTTTCTTTTGAGGTGTACCAACCAAACCAGAGCCCAGACCCTCTACACTCACTATTGTCTTTGTGTTCCTCTTTTTTTTTTTTTTTTGTTTTGTTTTTCCTGGACATGCTCATTGAGCCGAATGATATATGTTTGGTTGTGGTGAAGTAACTGCCCTATAAATCACAAACACCATGCACATCAGCACAAAAAAACAAAGGAACAAAACCTTTTGTAGGCTACTTACCACTTTGACCAGCTGTGACATGGACACCTCAAACTGCACAATAACTGGGTCGGACACATTTTCTACTGGTCGAATGTACTGGTTGTAGTTGGAGAATATCACAGAGAAGAGCTTGTGCTCTGCTTCTGAACATGTGCCGCCTGAATCAGAGCAGAATATCAGTCACGCAGCGTGGTTTAAATGGTTATACAGCTTGTTTTCAGGACCACTTTTTTTCTTTGTCTCTCATTAGTTCAAAAGAAAGCTCTAAATTTGACATTTTTCAGGAATTGACAAAAAAAAATAAAAATCCCCTTCAATATATTTTCTTTAAGTTTCCCTTCAGAGCAAAACACAACATCTGACATTACAAATACAATCAGTCTCATGTAATGAATATTTACTGAAGCTACATGAAGTCATCTTGATTGTTAAAAAAATCTGACATTTGGATTTGTTTAATTCATGCATGCAATTAAATGCCAGGATTTTATAGAGGCAGACTGCAAAGACATCATCACTAGGCCTTATAGTGACAACATTTATGTAAAGCAACAAGTAAGTAAGATGTCAAGCTGAAATAACAGACCAACGCTCACCTGACAGAAGACACAACAGGTACGACCAAATGGGAAAAACGAAGCAAAAAATGGCTTTCATCCTGTTCCAGTTGACAAATGCCAGATGAATCCAGGGTCAGCGGCAGCAGCGCTCCGAGGAGCAGACAGGAGGAGAAAGTGAGAAGAGTGAGAACGCGTCTGCAGCTGCCGACAGAAGCAGAGAGCAGAGGGAGGGAGGCAGAGCCACACTGTGGCGCGCAGCCAGTCACTGACAGGAGCCATACAATGCACACAATGTGCAACCTATAACAGCCTAATCAAATAAAGCAAGGGGAAGCTGTTCAGTGGTGCAAATGCTCCTCTCACAATTACAATATGGCATTTAATTTTGATTCCCAAAACCAATTCTCTGTGTGATTTCTTCTCATAGTCAGATAGAATTGGAGGAAAAAAATGCTCTGGATCCAAATGAAATGTACTTTTTGAAGGAATATTTATGAATTAATTTGTGAGATTTTCACGATGTGTGATTTTTTTTTTTCCACTGGTTTGAAATGAGAAAGATTTCTTTGTAGGGGGAAAAAATATTCTCACTTTTATGGACCAATCAGGATTAAGCAACAGTTAATTCAGAATCAGATGAAAATATTTCAGCTTTTCACTGCTTTCCACAGAGCAAACATTTTGTGCTGACGGTGGACCCAGGTGTTATTCAGACATATTTTCCTCTCACAGACTTTCATATTAAATTAACAAGTAGCCTTCAAACAAGATCGGTAGCCTCTGTGCCACTGGGTTGGGCTTTGGATGGCCAGCATACAGCATTCTTTTTTTTTTTTCCTTCTTTTTAAATTTAGTTTTATGAGAAACATCAGCTGGGATATGGACCCTTTCCTTTTTTCTTTCCTTATTGTCAGTCCACAGTGGTGTTATGCTCGCCGTCGGTCCGCCATGTGGCCCAGTGGTTTGGCACTCTGCCCTTTAACCGCATGAAGGGGAAGTCCCAGTGCGTTTCAGCTGACATCCAACCAACTGAAGTGTCATTAAGCGATAAATAAATCTCCACTAGGACCAGGGACAGCGTTTGGTGTCATTTTAACTCCTTTAAATGCAGAAAGTGAAAGGAGAAAATGCTAGTTTGACCTTCAGAAAGTTTTCATCCCCCCCCCAGACAGGACATTATAAAAACAGAGGGTGTCTGTACACCTACACACACAAAGCTTTAGCTGAGTCATTGAACTGTCTTTAGTGACAAACAGCTTCCAAATACTACATACTGCAAAGGTTGTCCTGTAGATTTAAGAAGACATGAAGCAAACTCTAGTGCTATCTAAATCATTGTTAGAGATATATAAATACATGCTTGTGTGGAACTCCTATTTTAAGGACTTTCTTATTAGTGCCTAATGACAAAGGGTTACTGACATAAGCCTTGTGATTAATGGGACCTTTCATTGAGTATTGAATGTAAGACTCCTCCAGCTTTATTTGGGTTTTAACAGGTGATGGATTTCTGATGGATATGCTGTGTCCCTCTTTGCTAATAACTGCAGGTTAACAGGTGAATGAAGAAGCAGCGAATGATTCAGAAAACTGTAAAAGTGAGACTAAAGTAAAGCAAGTCAGTCCATTAACTCGGATGCTGATTGCTATCTGTTGATTTAAATGAAGGTCTCACAAAAGAACCAACCGTCTGCAGAATCTCTAACGAGCCCACTCAGCACTGTTTATTGAGCAGTAAATGTTGTGTGTGTGTGTGTGAACGTTGTGTTTGTGTACTTTGCCTGCACTTGGCCATCTGTACGAATGAGCGGTTATCAAAGATCAGCTCTGGTGAAAAGGCACAAATGAGCAGTTGTAAGATTAAAGCACCTAAAACAAAAACAAGATGTTGTTTTCTCTTCTGCACAAATTTCAAACCTCAATACATGTTTTTTAGGAGTGATTTTTAAGAACAGGTCTATGGCATCGCTATAGAAAAAAATACTGGACCTCAGGATATTGCACTCAAAAGGAGCGCCTTCTCGAACAGTTTTGTTGCATCAACATTTTTTCTTTTTCTTTTTTTTTGCCTGGTCGTACATTCTCACATTTAAAGTGATCAGCTGTCTTATCTACATGATGAAATATCTTAACTGGCACGTCGTCATTGACCACGTTGGCTCTGAGGACAAACTTTATCATCGGCAACACAGATTAACTAAGCACTTTGGCAAGACCCCTGACAATTTAAAGACTTTATTGGGGATTTGATACATTTAATCAAACTAAAAGAGGACACAGATTTTTCTTTATTATATTTTAGTGACATGGTAACACAAATAAACAGCATCGGACAGGAGACATATCTTTGCCATATTAGGTGTAGTATTTCTGCAACAGTTCGGCATCCTTTGGTGCAGTGAAAGGTACACTCAGTCCAGTTCTGCATTTGTCCTTTGTAGGTGTAACAACCTCGGGGAAATGACCTCAGTGCAATGATGCTGCAATAGGTCCTTTGCAGATGCACCTTTTTTGTTTTTTTGCTCAAACTATGGGGTGGTTTATTGCTGGAGGCCATGTGGTTTTTAATATTAAAGACATTCTATCAATTTTCTATCACCCACCGATGTACTGTATTTTCTGTCTGATTTAGCCCTCTTTGGTGCCATGTTGTTGGTAGGATTTGGCACAGGGGACATCATGTTAGAGCTTCCGATCCCTGCCAATACAGCACTAAGCACACATCAAGAAGAATCCCATTACAGCTCTGTTTGTCCTAATGGCACAGCTGCTTATGAAAACCCCTGAAGTCGCTCAGTCTTCCTTGTTGCTCATCATATGCGAGGGGTCTCTGAGCTGGGCTGCTCACTGGGAACAATGTGACTCTGGAAGACAGGCTGGAGAAACAAGCCCAGTGTGCCCACCACGCACACTATCACAAAGATCCACAGGAACATACGATCCACTACCATGGCCACGTACTTCCAGTCCTCTATCACCTGCAAGACACATACAGTTTAAATGAGTCAGTGTGCTTGTTACAGGCATTCATTTCAACAGTATTGAAGCGTATAACGGTGTGAACAAATTAATGAATATGTGCCCTTTGAACTTATGGGAAACACTTTATGTTTTCTATAACGTGGTTTCATGTTACATCCATTTACACCAATAGCACTGCTTAGATTGTAGGTACATTTATCCTGAGGATGCTGACGCGGACCATCGAACAGAAACATTATGAAGGTATATCCTCGCAAAGACCCATCTCCATATTGCTGAGATCTACACTGACCCCTGTTGACCCCTTCACCTCATTTTCAGTGCTGTCCTTGGTAGTTTTGAAACAAGTCATTTCTCATTCTGGGTTCCCTCCCTGTTTATTGATTTGCCAGAAAAGCCATTGATTAACCAGAGTCTGCCTTCAATTTGCTGGGCCACAGTCACTACTTAAGGTTAGTAGTATTTCTTCCTGCACCTCAAGGGCCACAGAGAGTACAGTAAATGTAATCACATCAATACAAACACCTTAAACTCGGTTTTTGGGACCAGGACAGATGGGTTGGAAGGGTGACGGGAGCAGCTGAACCTGGTGGTAAAAATGTGCAAATACCTCATTCTAATTGGCTTTGATGCCGAAATATTTTAATTTGCTAACACTAAAGGAATTGTGTTTACCCACGTTTTTAACGGCACCCGTGACAATGTACTCTGCCTTGATATACACCAATCAGCCACAACATTCACTTACAGGTTAAGTGAATAACATTGATTATCTCGTTACAGTGGCACCTGTAAAGAGATGCGATAAACTCAAAAGCAAGCGAACAGTCAATTCTTGAAATATACTGTTTGGAAGCAGAAATAATGGACACGCATAAGGATTTAAGCAACTTTGATTAGGGCCAAATTGTGACGGCGTGGGGTCAAAGCATCTTTGAGATAGCAGGGCCTGGTGGAGTGTTCCTGGTATGCAGTAGTAAGTACCCATGAAACAAACCTGATCCAAGAAACACCAACCAGTCAAGGTCAGGAGGACTCAAAACTTATTGACGCTGATAGGTTAGCAAAGACTTGGCTGGTGTGGTTTGATCCCAAAGAGAAGCGACTGTAACGCAAATTACTGGAAAACTTCATGCTGCCTATGATAAAAACGTGAACATCACAGTTTCTGCATATGGGACTGAGTAGCTGTGGTCAGTGAGGCCCATTAGACCATATAGCAATGAAAGAAGGTGGTGGAGGTCTGATGTTTTCTTCTACAGTATGTGGACAGTTGGGTGTGTGTGCATCATTTAGCTGGGGAAGAGTTGGCAGCAGGATGCACTATAGGAAGCAGGCAAACTGATGCAATGTGATGCTCTGGGCAATATTCTGCAGGAAACTCTCCCTGGCATTCATGTGGATGTTACTTTGAGCACCTACCGAAACACTGCTGCAGACCACGTACACCCCTTCATGCCAACAGTATTACTGAACGGCACTGGCCTCTTTTTTACTGAATAGTACTCATTATCACACAACAAAAATTGTTAGGAATGACAAAGGGTTAAAGGTGCTGACTTGGCCTCCATACTCCCTAGATCTCACTTCTATCAAGCATCTGTGGGATGTATTGGAAAAACTCATCCAAACCATGAAGCCTCCGCACCATACAACTTGCAAGATTAAAAACCTGTCTTGGTACTTGATAACACGGGAGCCCTTCAGAGGTCTGTGGAGTCTGAGCTGTTTTAGCAGCATTAGGGTGACCTACATAGTATTAGGCAGGTTGTTTTAATTCTGTGGCAGATTTGTGTATCTGTGAGTTGCTAATTGTATTTACATGGTCTAGTGAAGACTGTAAGTTAAAATGACATTAAGTCAATTTCTGCAAAGCTGTTTGCCTTGGTAACGTTTGGTTATGAGTCACTGATCACAAAGCAAACTACAAGTCTAACCTCTCTCATTTTGATATGTCCTTCGAGTCAAACAACACTTGCTTTTTTGATGCATTTGTAAAGCAGCACTCCTCAGCCAATTAGGCAATTAGCACAGCGTAATCTTAAGAATGGAAGCAGACAAACCATCATACCATGAACAGCAAAAAGCTCCACCTAGAAGCAGAGCTAGTTTCTTTTACATTAACACGTGGCTT